CCGCCCGATAGTCCCTCTCCATGGCCTCGCCGAACTCTTCCCAGACCCGAGTTTTTGCCTCTACAACCACCCAGGCTGCAGTCCGCTTGGTCTGCCAGTACCTGTCAGCTGCCAGTACCTGTCAGCTGCCTCAGGCGTCCCACGACCCAACCAGGCTCAAAAGGACTCCTTCTTCAGCTTGACGGCATCCCTTACTTCCGGTGTTCACCACCGGGTTCTGGGATTGTCACCGCAACAGGCACCGGAGACCTTACGGCCACAGCTCCAAATGGCCGCATCGACAATGGAGGTGGAGAACATGGTCCACTCGGACTCAATGTCTCCAACCTCCCCCTGGGATCTGGTGAAAGCTCTGCCAGAGGTGAGAGTTGAGGATCTCCCTGACAGGGTATTCTGCTAAACGTTCCCAACAGACCCTCACAATACGTTTGGGTCGGCCGAGTCTGTCCAGCTTCCTCCCCGGCAATCGGATCCAGCTCAACACCAGGTGGGGATCAGTTGACAGCTCCGCCCCTCTCTTCACCCGAGTGTCCAAGACATAGTCCAAGACATATGGCCAGAGGTCAGATGAAACAACCACAACCTCCGGCCTAGGGTGTCCTGGTGCCACGTGCACTTATGGACACCCTTATGCTTGAACATGGTGTTTGTTATGGACAAACTGTGACTAGCACAGAAGTCCAATAACAAAACACTGCTTGGGTTCAGATCGTGGCCGTTCCTCCCAATCACGCCCCTCCAGTTGAAGTCCCCCAGTAGAACGATGGAGTCCCCAGTTGGAGCGTTCTCCAGCACCCCTCCCAGGGACTCCAAGAAGGCTGGGTACACTCTGCACTGCCATTCGGCCCATAGGCACAAATGACAGTGAAAGCCCTATCCCCAACCCGAAGACGCAGGGAAATGACCCTCTCGTTCACCGGGGTAAACTCCAACACATGGCAGCTAAGCTGGGGGGCTATAAGCAAGCCCTCACCAGACCACCGCCTCTCAACGCGGGCAACTCCAGAGTAGTGGAGAGCCCAGCCTCTCTCAAGGAGTATGGTTCCAGAGCCCAAGCTATGCGTGGAGTCGAACCCAACTATCTCTAAGCAGTACCTCTCAACCTCCCGCACAAGCTTCGGCTCCTTCCCCACCAGCGAGGTGACACTCCATGTCCCCAGAGCTAGTCTTCGTGTCCAGAGATCGGGTTGTCGGGGCCCTTGCCTTTGACCACTGCCCGATCCACTGTGCGCCAGCCCCTTACAAATCCTCCTACAGGTGGTGAGCCCTACATCGCTCATTCAGGCTAAGCCCGGCCGGGCCCCTTGGGAAGAGGCCCGGCCACTAGGTGCTCACATTCAAGCCTCAACCCCGGGCCTGGCTCCAGGGTGGGGCCCTGGCTGCGCCATACCAGGCGACGTCACGGGTTCTTGAACCTCTCTTAGTCTGACCCATCACCTAGGACCTGTTTGCCTTGGGAGACCCTACCAGGGGCATATAGCCCCTGACAACATAGCTCTTAGGATCACTCGGGTACTCAAACCCCTCAACCACAATAAGGTGGCGGTTCAAGGAGGGGTAAAGGTAAAGGTATCTTATGAACCAGCAAAAATGTGGCATAAGACAGGGTGTAAATATACCTGACATGACCGGGAGACAACGAGCAGCAGGTGAATGATATGGTGACTAATTGCAGTGAGAGTAGCGGGGAGAGAACAGGTAAACAGAAATATAAATCCTGTAAGCAGATTGACATGACACCGTAACACTTCCTGAGGTTTCTTCCTGGGGAGTTTTTCCTGATCCAGTTCCAGGACAGAGGGTGTCGTGTACTTTACACAAAGTCCCTTGAGGTAGTTTTGTAATTTGTGCCATTGGGCTTTATAAATGAGAAGTGACTTGACAGTGATGCTCAGCCAGGGCCATATGAGTATCCTCATATCCTCACACCTCTCCCCTGGGAAACATCGGAGCCCAGTCTGTGTCCAGGAGGTGAGTTCTGCTCTATGTAGTTGGTGGATTTCCACCTTCCACACCAACTGCAGCTCCTTCCCCATCAGAGAGGTGACATTCCCTAGAACAGGGCTGTGATGCCAGGGACCAGCACACCCAGGTCCATGCCTATGTCAGCCACCTGGCTTACTGCACTCAACTCCAGTGCCAGTGCCTGTCTCTGTGGGTGGGGGGCCACAGGGTGATGGCTCCGTGTAATTCTTTCAGGCTGTCTGGCCACATAGGTTAAGGCCAGCCACCAGACTCTTCAGTGACCTCTCTTCCCAGACCTCCAGAAGGGGCCCCAGTCTCTAATCCAGGTGAGGTGACACCGCTCCAGAAAGTGCCTTCCATACTGATTATGTGACCTTCTCGTTTTCATTTCAACTGATTTTACTCTGGTGTTAATGCTTATTGTTTCTAATGCTGGTACTGTTTCCCCTTACCTCTGTAAAACACTTGGAACTGCCTCTGTGTATGAGAAGTGCTGTATAAATAAAGTTGCCTTGCCTAGTCACCAGAAGCTGGTGGACCTAGAAGACAAAGACGTCTTCACGTCTTGTCCTGGGTTAAAGGAAGCAGTGGCATTGACTGGCACCGTTCACTTTTATATCACCCTTTGAACGTGAAGACTTGCTAGCTGCTGCTGCTACCTGCACAGTTTGGGCAGCTAAAGCTCACAGGAAGACTAACAATCAGGTGACATTCTCTTCAGAATGTGGCTAAATTGTACAGATAGTCTCAGACCACCTGCAGATGTGTGTGCAGTGAGAGATCTAACAGGAAAAAGTCCCTAAATGAACTGATCCTGTTGCTGTTGGGAACAGCACAAACTCTAAAAGTGAAGTTGTGTTCAGAAAGGACAGGATTAAACTTTCAGTTTCCAGAAGTGTACTGACCTTGGTCTGTTCTGCAGCACAGCAGTGAGGTCACAACTAGAGAGGAATGATACTCAGGTTAGTCCGAGCATTAATTGTCACTCTGCTGTCGGAGGAGGTAGTGATCACCTCTCTAACTCTTCCTACACCATTACACACCACAGGGTCAATCCCAGTTACATTTTTGATCATTCCTCACTAATTGATTCTTGCTCAACTCAGAAGCCTTTCTGGCCCGGCACTTGAAGGACATCTCAAGTCTCTGATATTGGTTCTGATTAGTGAGGCTGCTGGAGGAGCCATGAGCCAGGATACAAGAGAGCATCCTTCACATTAGTCCTTTGAACTTCTAAGACTTTTGAACTTCCCTGCCCCCTCATCAGAAATCAGATAGTGATTCGACACTTCAGATGAAGGATTGGAGGAAAGGACATCTCATGTCTATAGGAGTGTTTCCTTGACTCTCTCCTCACTATGTTTCCTCCCATCTTACTTGAGCAGGACTCAATGGAAATCAAGGGAACTGGGATTTACCTGTGTTTGTATACTTTACTTACAGCAGCTACCAGGAAACAGTTTGCTATGAGAAGAGACAACCCCACAGACAGAAACACTTGATGCTAACAGGACGGTGACAGAAATTCTTATTATTGTGCCTAATATTCTTCATTAGTCCACCACAAAGTTGGTTCATGAAGCAAGTTACCAGTTAAACCAGGTTTACCTGACTTATTTTCAGGAAACTGTCATAAACCAGGATACTGTGGAGAAAATGCAGACCCTTGATGGAGTCCATACCAAATACCCATTGTGTTCTCTGGCCTTCAGTGAGTTCATTGTGCTTTTCTATAGTCAAAGATTGGGTCACACCTCCTCATTAAATGTTTTGTTTCTAATGTTTTCTACTTCTTCTGCTTTATACATTAATACTGAAGAGCACAGCAGCGTTTCACACTTGGTGTTCTGCCAACCAGCTTCATGAAGGAACCACCTGAAACCTTTTTCCTACAGTTTGAAGACATTCTCCCATACACTGAGCACTTATCTCTTACTTTTCTTTATCCTCTGCAGCCCAGTTCATACCAAACCATCTCAGCTGGGTTCAGGTCGAGGACTACGGGGGCTGGGTCGTCTGAGGCAGACTGACCCTAACAGACCTTACATGACCTGGAGGTGTTTTTGGTCATGGCCCTAGTGAAAACAAATGATGCTCCCACTAAATTCAAACCAGGTGTGATGGCAGAGCAGGATGCTGTGGTAGCTGATGCTCAGATGTGCCTGCTGCCTGAGAAGCACTGATGTAGGTTCTAATGTAAGTTACTGTTAGTGGTGATTTCAGAGGCTGGTAATGCTAATGAACTTCTCCTCTCTGGCAGAGGTAACTCCTGGCCTTCTTTCCTGGGGCGGACCTCGCGACAGCCAGCTTCATCAGAGCGTTTGAGGGTTTTGTGACTGTTCTTGAATAAACTTTAAAACTTTCTGAAATCTTCCAGACTGACTGATGTTCATGTTTTAAAGTAATGAACTGTTTCTTTTCACATAGTTGAGCAGTTCTTGCCATAATATCATTTGCTGTATACCCTTTGACCTTTGACCCAGACTGCCTCAACTAAAGCACATTAAGAAGACATGAAATGACACCAATGAATTTACATCACTCCAGGTGACTACGTCATGAAGCTGGTTAACACGCTGCTGACAGTGTGTGAAACTGTCATCAGGGCAAACAGAACTTACTCTGAAGGATCCAAAACAGGAAACACATTTGCTTTTGATCAACACTTTGTCCCTTTGAGTTGCTGTGACCGAAGTGACTGATGCTCACCTTGACTTTTAAAACTTCCAACACTGCAGCTACCTCTGACATTTAAACATTGTACAGGTGAGTAGTGATTTATCCTGCACTGTGGACAGTTCCTGCTCTTAAAGGTTGAATCACAGTCATATTAGTTTCTGAGCATAATGATCTTTTCTCCATGTTTAGGCATCACATTCATCAGTAACGTTGGTTATCTCTCTCTAGACCTACAACTTGTCTTGTGTAAGATGATTTTATATTATCTGATATTTATATTATAGTTGAGGTTTTCCAGTCAATATTAGCCTGTATCTGACAAACGTTCCTTTCAGCACAGCAGACATCTGACTTTGTAATGACTTTATATAGAACACACTGTACTCACAGATCAGACAGAGAAGAGATGTTTGTCCCATCGTACCGCTCGATGACATGAGAAACAGAATTCTGCACTGAAAGCAGTAAAAAACTAACAGGATTTCCTCTGTAGCAGCTGTGTGGTTTCCCCTCACACAAATTCCAGGAAAGTGGTTACTTACTTTTGTAACTTCAGGTAAACATTGCTTACTTTGACAAAACAGTAACTTAATTGTCTGTATCTATATTTTAGATGTTATTAAATCAGCTGGTGTCCCTGAGGTCACTCACAACCTGTCAGACATGACCTCTGAAAGGACTCTGTTACTACAAACCCATGTGATGCAGCTGCTGTTGGATCGACAGTCAGCAACAAGTGACCAGCACAGGGACGTGCACACACTCACTGAGGCGCTGTTCCTCTAAAATGAAAAAGGAACAAGACAAACAGTAAAACTTGGATCCCAGAGTTCTGTCCTGATTTAATGCCTTTCCTGTTTCACACTTTTGTTTTGACACACTTCCTGCAGCTCACCCTTCATTAGTTCATTCTTCATTACTGATGCTGTGTCAAAATCTGTTCCCCTGTCCAGCTGTGCTCCCTCTTGTATCTAAATCTGGACCCTCACCTCATCCTGACCCGAACCACTGAGGGGCAGGGTACACTGTGAAATCATTTATGGTTTCTGCACTTCACATGACAAGACAGACTGGAAATGAAGCTGCTGTGTCGGACTGGTAACAGCTCTGTCAGTTACTGGTGTGAAAACCAAGAGGTGTTTAGGACAGAATCCAGACGAGCCTGGTGCTGCACTCAGTCAGATGATCCCGTCACAAAAACAGGCAACGCAGGTCTCACTCTGCAGACACAACCAAACCATAAGTACTTTCCATCTGACTGACTTGTAGACGACACAGAGAATCAGAACATGAGCAGCAGCTCCAGAAGAGACAAACACAACTTTATTCAACATGTTCACAATCACAAAGAACGTGGACACAGTGAAGTCTGTCTCCGATCTGTCCAGCTCAGAAGTGATGCTCGGTGGTCACCGCCACGACGTCGTCATAGTCCTTAGCCAATCTCTGCTGAGCCTGGAGGGCTGCTGCTGTTGCCATGGAGATGGGAAGGTCACTTCAGGCAGGTGACACTGTGAAATCATTTATGGTTTCTGCACTTCACATGACAAGACAGACTGGAAATGAAGCTGCTGTGTCGGACTGGTAACAGCTCTGTCAGTTACTGGTGTGAAAACCAAGAGGTGTTTAGGACAGAATCCAGACGAGCCTGGTGCTGCACTCAGTCAGATGATCCCGTCACAAAAACAGGCAACGCAGGTCTCACTCTGCAGACACAACCAAACCATAAGTACTTTCCATCTGACTGACTTGTAGACGACACAGAGAATCAGAACATGAGCAGCAGCTCCAGAAGAGACAAACACAACTTTATTCAACATGTTCACAATCACAAAGAACGTGGACACAGTGAAGTCTGTCTCCGATCTGTCCAGCTCAGAAGTGATGCTCGGTGGTCACCGCCACGACGTCGTCATAGTCCTTAGCCAATCTCTGCTGAGCCTGGAGGGCTGCTGCTGTTGCCATGGAGATGGGAAGGTCACTTCCTGTCACAGGGGTTAATCCTTAAATACAATTCAGAAACAGTAAAAGATGCAAATGCATGATAATTTATATACTTTAAATAACACTGGATAACTGACACTGATAGTGACAGAGACACTGCCCATTGATTGATTGTCAGGTCAATGACTCAGTGTTACCTGTTGGTCGGTGTCGATATAGAGACGCCATGAGGAGAGTGGAGATGAAGTATGGACAGAACACCACCAGGTGGAGGACCAGTCTGAAGGCAGGCTGGAGGGGAGCTGAAGTGGGAAGTGGAGAGGTGGCTGGAGTTGTGGTCGTGGTTGCAGGATGTGGGGATGTGGTCGTGGTTGTAAGTTTATCTGCAGAGAGAATCCACCTGGTCAGGTGAACATGTGGATGAACTAAGAGCTGAAACCAGAGTGACCTCCTGACCTGTGACAGAGAGCCAGCTGGGTGGAGACGCTCCATGACCACTGATGTTACAGGTGTAGAGGCCTTCATCAGCCTTGGAAACACGGCGGATGGTCATGTGACCTGTAGGCTCCGCCCCGATCAGGGAGCCATCTTTATAGAAAGCAGCTGGGAGGCTGGAGGGAGGGCTCCGTGCTTCACAGCGCACAGTGACATCATGTCCCTCCATCACAGGGAGGACAGGACTCTGCAGGATCACTGCTCCACCTCAACACAGAGACAAACTACAGCCTTTCATCCATTTACACACAGCTTCATCAGCACTGACTCCACAGTCTGATCTTACCAGTGACAGTGATGTTGATGCTGTTACTGGTCGCTCCCTGTGTGGACTGGCACCAGTAAACACCACTGTCCAGTGTGATGACGTAACTGATGGTACAGGAAGAACCAGCTGGTTCTCCCCAGTCTTCACACTGAGTCCTGGTGTCTCTGGTCGTGTTCCTCCTCAGTGTCCATCCAGCAGAGCTGTCGTCCTCCTCACAGCTCAGAGACACTGAGTCTCCTTCAAACAGCTGAGAGCTGCTGGGACTCACAGTCAGACGAGCTGGAGAGAAGTCAGTGAACATGTGGATGAAACAGGTAAAAGTCCATGGTTTCCCAAAACAGTAAAATCTTAGTCCTACAGTTTTACTGGATGTTTTCACCAACAAATGTTTTAATGCTGCAGTCAGTGAGTGAACCAGGACTGAAACGTGTTCATTCTGACCACGTTGTCACTTTATGGGTCTTTGGTGGATTAGACTGAAATCAGTGACCCCCAGGAAGAAGTAAACATTTCTCGCCCCCCAACTCTCCGCCGCGACTGTAAATAGTATCATTTGTCTATAAAAATGTTATAGTACATCTCTGCATAACATTGTATCCTTAACATTAAAGAAAACAAAAAGAGAAAGAAGAAAGAAATATAGATCAACTTACAACAAACAATAACTTTATTAACATTGTTTTTTAGTCTGTAACAGAAAACACTTAAAGTCAATTTGCCTGAAATTTAAAAAAAAATTCAATCCTTATTTAAACTGTTGACAATATTCAGCACGTTTTCCCTGAAAAACTCAAGCTGCTTATCAGTGTGATTGTGGTGTAATGTCTTTAAGTGACACCTTAATTTATTTAACGTCATGCTGTCCCCTGCCAACATTTTAGACACAGTAAACATACCGGTCTTTCCTCGTCTCCCACCGTAGTCACAGTGAAACCAAGCGCCACATACGCTTGGTCATATTTCCTCGTCTTAGCTTTCGGGAGACTTACGTTTGTCTCATTGTCTCCGTCTCAATGTAAGCTTTACCACAGCAGCATCTAGTGGACATTAGAGGAGCTGCAGCTCAACACACCAGCTCTGATTGATGCATATATTTTTAAACTTGAGTTCTTTACTGTATGATGTAGTTGATGAAACATAATTTATCAGCTAAAAAAGTGCAGACATCAAGTCATTTACTTGCAGACCAAAGACTCATCACATGCTGACTGAAGCAATAAGACTGGATGAAACCGATGTACTGTGTCCAGACACTGCAGCATGTTGGTCTGTGTGCAGTCAGAGATCTGAGTAAACTGTTGGTGCTGGGAACCCGGCACACAGAGCAGATCAACTCCTCACTTCCTCCACAGTAAACATCTCTCTCAGTCGGCATCAGAGATTCAGACCAACAGAAGTTCACTGACCTTGGTCTGTTGTGCAGCACAGCGCTGAGGCCACGACTGGAGAGAAACGAGAGGCAGGATGGTTTGAGGTTTTAGTGCAGTCACACAGCTACTTGGCACACTGTTATTGTCAGAGTTCCTCTGGTACTTGCACTATAAACTACTGAGACACTGTCATGACATGTGCACGGTAAATGCAGCCATGAATTATACACTGATAAATCAAAGGATATTAAAAGTATTGCCACGTGAAACGCAGCCACAGGAAAGTAACTGTCTGTTGCTGAGATCACACGTGATTCTTTAGCAGCACATTTAGCAGAGAATTGATTTAGATGCTGGTGTGGTCGCTCAGTGGTTAGCACTGTCACGTCACAACAAGCAGGTGTCAGGTTTGAAACCTCAGTGTTTTCATGTTCCCCCTGTGTATGGTTTCCTGTAGGTGAACGGTAAATGGCTGTTTCTCTGATAGTGACTGTGCACTGTAACAGACTGATGACCTGCACAGCGGGCGCCTATATCTGTTGTAGTGCATGATGGGATAAGCGCCATCCTCCCTGTTCATACACTAAGTGGGTAGAGAGCAGTGATGGGTTGTTGGGAGGCTGAATGCACAGACAGAGTTTGTACTGCTTCAATACAACAATACCATGAAAGATGGTCCTGTTCAAGAATCTAATGTCCAGCCCCCTGGGTCACAGTCTCCTTTTAGCACCGTCCTTATTTCAATCCAAACTCGCTGTTTAAAGTGCCTTTAGATTGTGTTACTTATTTATCTACTTCATATTTCACTTGTGTTGTGTGTCATTCATGTGGACGGCAGAGTAAGAGTTTCATTGTACAGAGAAACACGTGTCCATACCATGCATATGACAATAAACACTTTGAATCTTGAACCTTAAACTCTGCTCATGTGACCATGTTCCCAAATAATAGACCACTTATTCCACTGCCCACACTAACTGACAGACAGACCACCTGTGGACAGGCAGTACTCATGTACTGGACTACTGCTTGGTACTGGAACACAGCTACCATGTGCAGCCTGATGTTTACACAACATACTGCAGCTGCTGAAGCTGTGCAACAAGACGTGGATGAGGCCAAAGCATCAAATATCAACTGGCTGAATCCTGCTAAGGAACCTGGACCCTGATGAAGTCTGTTTGCAGCATTGGCCATTTAATCTGTTACATTTAATGATCTTTATGAAAAATGTCGTGACTTCTTTTACCTCCAGTTTAAAGGTCAGATATAACAAGCCCCACTGGAATTCAAACCTGGGACGTCATCGATTACATTATCTATACCATCAGGAGACGAGCCTAGACTATTGGAACCAGTCATGCCGCTGGCCTTTCCTGCTCTTACTTGCCAACATATTCTCATATCATTTGAAGCCATGACCTTTCCCAGTCTGGTGCCCTGAGTCTGACCTTCTTCCTCTGCAGAACAGCAACATCTAACTGTGTCATCACTAAACTAGACACAGAACAGACTGTACTCACAGATCAGACAGTGAAGAGATGCTGGTCCCATCGTACCGCTCCGTCGTATGAAGTACTGTGAATACTGCTGAGAGCAGAACACACCAGCACTTCCTCTGTGTAGTTGGTGCAGCAGCTGTGTGGTTTCCTCTGGTGGAGGTGGGTTAATCAGCTCAAGGCTGAGATTTTGCTTCTCTAACTGCTGCCTCAGTGTTTGTCACTACCTGTTAAATACAGCAGCCGTTCTCAGCCTGTGATGAAGATGTTCACTAGTGAAACTGTTCACTGTGTTCCTGGCCTGGCTGTACAGAGTCCTGTAGGCCTCCTCTTTGGCACGACGAAGCTGCTTGAGTCTTGCTGTAAACCAGGTGGTTGTTGTATGTGCAGAAGGTCTTTCTGGGCACACACACATCCTCACAGAAACTGGTATAAGATGTCAGTGTCAGTGAGTTTGTCCAGGTCTGTAGCTGCAGACTCAAATACACTCCAGTCTGTGCAGTCAAAACAGGCATCACAACAAGCTGTAGCCTAAATTATTAACATGAGACTAAGGGGAGGACTGGGACTTGTTTCTCTGCACAGCAGGCAATGAAATACATACAGAAACCCTCACTTGTACAATAATCCCATTTTCAAATCAATTTTATTTATAAAGCACCAATTCACAACAAAACTCATCTCGGGGCACTTTACATACACTGCTCAAAAAAATAGGAGGAGCTCAGAGCATCATGGTGCCCCCACCCCCCTGCAGCAGAAATAAACTGGATCCTGTTCTGTGATTTAGAGAGAAAACTGTTTGGTCTTTCACCTGTTGATAACGACTTGGTTTCATCATCTATAACTTTACTCATCCTCACTCTGTGGTTCCTGCTCTTCTCTGTGTGGACACTGTCAGGGTTGGGGTGTAACGATGCCAAATGGTGTTTGTGGTGAACTCAATTATAAAGCCAGACGAACTGAGGTAGAGACAGGATCTTTACTTGTTACAACCAAACAACCAATACACAGTCCAGGATCACAATCAGGTCAAAAGACAGTCCAGGGTCAGTGCCGGTAAACAGGTATAGCCAGGAGACCCAAACTAGAGAGGTCAAGGGGAATAAATCAGAAGGTCGGTACAATGCAGGCAATCAGAATCTGGGAGGACATAGGCAAAACACGGTGGTCAAAAACATTAATCCAAGGTCAGAAACAGAGAGTCAGGTAAGGTATAATTGCTGGAGAGTCAGAGCTGGAGTCTAGAACAATCTGGTAGCGTTCTAGTGGGAGGACGCTGCCTAAATAGAGGTGAACACAGGTGCAAACAATAAGGAGCAGGTGAAACTAATCTGAGTAAGGAAGAAAGTAAAAAGACCGAAACTATGGTGAAACAAAACAGGAAGCAGAATCAAAATAAAAGCCTGACAGGAAGCAGCGGAACCAAAACATGACAGACACTGCTTCATGTTGTGACTTAACAAAAACACAAAACCAGTTTAACCAGTCATTGTTCTGAGAACAGAAGGAGTGAAACAGTCCTGGATTCACTGATCTTTACTGGACGCTACGCTGTGACAAGATGTAACTTCACAAACACAATGTAAA